TAATCCTACAAGTTAAGCAATAAAAGCGCTTGATTCACAAAATTGGAACTTCCAAATAGAATATAAATATTCCTGTACCGCCATTGCATTATGGCATCTACTTCATGTATTCAATTATATGATCACCCTCACCGCACACAATTCTAAAAAAGTAAGAAAACACACTCGATTTAAATTGGCACCAAAAAATATATCTAATATTTTCTGGGAGCAACAATTTTTTGTCTTTTGCTTCTTATTTCGATGATACGGTTTTGTACTAAATTCTCTGAATCCAAAAACTACACCATGCAATCCACGTATGGGATATAAGTACATCTAAGTACATGGTACTCAACAATCTAGTTTGAGCAGCCTTAGATGATACATTTGGGCTCCCGACGAGTTGCAAAGTTTTCATGTGAGGCCTTTGGTGGGGTTAGATGGCCACATGCCCTGAGTTGTGTGTGACTCCTTAGAACCATCTCTCGAACTCCTGGTCATAGTCGATATATATCATGTGTGACTCTCCAGGCTTGTTTTGAGTTTATTCAAGTGAGAGTGAATGAAAGTTCATGACCGTGGGGGGGCCTATAAAGTGGAGGATGCCTTGACAAATCACTAAGGCTACACATGATGGTGGAAGGTTGGTGGATAGTATGCTAAGTCTAGGTCCATGTGTCCATGAAGATTGGCCAAAGGTGGGGGTGTTCATAGTCCGTGGTGCACTACTCCCCTTCATCCATGCATGAATGAGCCTTTGGACAGTTGGGTCTTATTTGGCCTTGGGCTTCTTTGCTTCTTGCCTTCATTGTTGACCTTTGCCTTTTATTTTCCGCTTTTCTTTAACTTATTGACCATGGGAACTTGTTTGGACTTATGTTTCTTTCAGAAAAATTTCCGATCTATTCATCTTCAATCATGGCAGTATAATAAAAATTATATCCAGATCCGTAGAACACCTAACAATGACTACAACCAATGAAGCGAGTTGAAGGCGCGCCGTCATCATCACCCTCCCTCGCTGGAGTCGGGCAAAACTTGTTATAGTAGATAGTTGGGAGCTGCTAAGGCCTCACAGGACTAGCACACCAGAACAACAACCACTGCCGATAAAGAGAAACGTAGATCAGGAGGACCCAACCTAAAGACAAACGAGCGTAGTTGAACGAAAACTGGATCCGGGCAAATCCATGAAAGACAAGCACCGACTGAATCCTGCAAGATACCCCGGAAGCACACCTCCACATGCCCTCCGACAATGCTAGCACTGATACATCCATTTTGCATCACTATTTTCTATTATATAATTTATCTTATTTTAATGATATATTTCACATTATGCAAATATAATGTCTTTTTTCTATTAAAATGCAAGGTAAAATAGATAGGAAAATTGTCAGACAGTTGGAAATCTGGACCCAAATTACAACAGAAGAAAAGGAAAAAAATTCGAAGCTCAAAAAATTCCGGGTATTTTACTGAACTATTTTCGGATAATATCAAGACCGGAGATCAAAGATGGGCCAGAGGGGACCCACCAAGGCCCCACATGGCCTTGCTACGCGGGTCACCCCCGGTTGCGTGGGTGGTCGTGTAGAGGCCTGGTGGCCTCCCTCCTTACGCCCTTTGGGCGTAAAATCCTATTTACTATGAAAAACATAGAAAATTCTCAGGACTTTCCACTGCCTCTGTGAGGCAGAACCGTAGCGGAGCACTTTTGCTCCCCGCAGAGTGACTCTGCTAGGAAAACTTCCCTATGGGAGGGTGAAATCAATGCCATGGTCATCACCAACACTCCGTTCATCATTGGGGTCATCATCTCCATCAACAATTTCACCAACACCATCTCATCTCCAAAGCCTAGTTCATCTATCTTTTCTATCTTTGTATCAAACCTCATATTGATTGCTGGGAGTACTTCTATGTGTTGATTACACACAATTGATGTGTAGGAGATTTATTGGTGGAAGATTTTTATGTTCAGATTGTTTATCACTTATTTATACCCAATGATCATGATCCATATTATGTATTGTGAGTACATCCATTAATTCTTGAGCACATGCGAGAAGTCTTGTTGCTGGTAATCATGTGAAGTTGAATATGAATTAGTGTTTTGATGATATGTTGTGTTGTGTTGTTCTTGCTCTAGTGGTATTATGTGAGTGTCGACTACATGGCACTTCACCATCTTTGGTCCTAGGGGAAACATTGTGAAATAGTTTGTATATGATGAGTTGGGCGAGTGATATAAACCTAAGTCCCAGTTTATGAATTGTTTTGCGAGGGGCTATTTTGCATCTCGGTATTTAATGCTATGATTAGATTTATCGTAATTACTTCTCTTGTATTTGTGGATGCTTGCATGGGGGATATAATCATAAGTAGGTATTTGTTCAAATAAGTACAATACCTTAGCTCTGGTCCACTCACACAACACTTATAAAAGCAATGAACAGTAACTCGATGAATCTGGGTGAAAGTAACTTGAGAAAATTCCCGTGTGTCCTCAAGAGCGTTTTAGCTACTATAAGAAACACAACCGATTATCCTTAGCGTATGTAAGGATTGGGCCATTTTCTGCACTATATTACTTTTGTTACTATTTATCTTATTACAAATTATCTTGCTACCAAACAACCTATCGAATTATCTTTCAACATTTACAGTGAACCTTGTTGCAAACGACTTGTCAATTTCTTCTTCTCTTCATTGGGTTCGACACTCTTACTTATCGAAAAGGCTATGATAGATCCCCTATATTTGTGGGTCATCATGCACCATCAGGATGGGGCCAGGTAGGGAGAACCTTATCCATCTTCAATGAGCCACCGTCGTCCCGCCTTCCCGAGCAGGACACAAACTCTGACAAAACCCAAAGAAACATCTAAAAAGGAAGCCCTCCAGCTGGCAAGGGTAAGTATCCACTACGCCCTCGATGGCCCTATGGCCACAGGAGATGAGGCGGATCGGTGGCGCCACCAACAGGAGTTAGGACCACTAGTCACATGTTCGCTTGGGACGATGGACGAAGGGGTAAGTTGGATATGTTGGATTTCTTCAAGTCAGGATTAAATAATTGTTTGGACTTATGTTGACCACCTTGGACTGTGTTGACTTACTTGGACATTTGTTGACTAGCCATGTAGTAACAGTGGGACCCCCCAGATGAGATTATTTATTTCCATTTGACAGACATTTGAGTCTTATGTTAATTTCATCTTCCATCCGCCGTTTGCCTCCTCTTTCCGCGTGGCAAGCTACACAGTTTGGCTACATATCTGTCAACAATAGTTGGATCTTTAGACGAAAACCAAAGGGTTAACTTCATTTTTAGCCTCATCTTGTCATTTTTCTATAAAGACTACCTCATTTAAGGGGGTTTCACTTGTTTTTCTTCTTTTAAGTAACTTGTGCCATATTTTATCCTTTTTGAACATGATACAATTACAGATGCTCACACACACGCACATATACTTATCCACATCAACGCACACTCGCATATTGTGGTTGGTAGGTGCCCGACCGACGGTGTGGTGGTGTGGCGTTCTGTTATGGCAAGGATGAGGATGGCAAGCGGTGCAGGGTTACGGCAGGGCTTCGGTTGTTGGCTTTTTCCAACATGCTCGAAAGGTTTCTTCTTTGTATCGCCATGTTGTCGTGGAGTCATAGCTGCGTAGGTTGTGAAGATGACATGTGATTGGTGGTCTTTGAGGAAGCGTTGGTTGGCGTTAGTTCTTCACATTTCTCTTGTGTTTGGTTGTCTTCTAAGTTGGAGTTGTTCGGGCGCCTGCACAGCTGCACCGGTGGCCGGTTATTTGGCATGGGCCGACAAGGGTTGTGGCATTTGAGGACTTCACTGGTGAAAGTCGGTGATGAAGACGGATTCGCTGGCTTGTGGAGTAGTAATGACTATGAAGCTTGGTGATGACCCCAACTTTCTGTTTCTTCTTTGCGCCAATTTTATATCTTCGTGTGGGTGACCAGGACGGCCAGTGTTGCCTTATGTGGGCCATTGTGACGATTTAGCTAAGTTTTCTACCATCTTCCTCTTTAATAAATCAAGATCCTTAGGGACTGACTTAAAAAAAGTTACCCATTCCTAGTCACACTTAAAGTCATGTAGTACTGTACTCCCTCCGTTTCTTTATATAAGGTGTATTTATTTTTTTGATAAAATTCCAGAATGTAAGGTGCATTTCTTCTAATTCCTCATAATTCCTTGTTAGCCCTCCAGAAAAAGGAAAAATATCTTTCTCCTGATTGTCTGTATCTCTCCTTGTAGCTAAAGAAGGAAAGTATCTCTCTGTCGATTGCATGTATCTCATACTTTTCTCGACTAACTGATGCCACTAACAAATAAATTTGTCAAGGGTAATTTCGTCCTAACATGTCTATAATTCCATGCCTTAGTCACCGTGTCGAAAATAATACACCTTACATAAAGGAACGGAGGAAGTATAGTACTCCTAGTCACACTTACGCTGCAGAAAACCTTTTTTTGCCCTAGTGGCATAATCAGTGGATCTGTGACACTTCGTCCAACACCGTTCGTTAATGGCAGTGACTCCTTGATATTTATCCAGTCAGCTAGGGTCACTCGTCACCGGTGACTGGCTCATGGAGTCATGGGTCAGAGAAGAACAGTTCCTGCATTTACCTGCCCATTGAGCGGCACACGGTGGCGCTGCTCCGTACTGGAGAGAAGATCTAAGCTAAAAAGCAGGACGTTCGAACGTGTCGCCCACCGCCGTGGCCCTCCACCTGTGATGCGATCCACTGGGCGACGACGGCGACCGTAGGCCTGCCTCCTTTGGAGCCCCCCCAGCTTTATTCCAAAGCACAAAAGCATCCGCCCGTCCACCCCCAAAAGAACCAGAATCCTCGTCACGCACAAGCGCACAACGCAACGCAAACCCCCCGCGCCAAGGAAACCAGAGCAGGCGGCGCCGTCGTCGTCGTCGTCGTCCGTGGGACGTGGGAGTGTGAGCCTGTGGGTGTGAGCGGAAGCCGCAGCCATGGGGTGCGGGCAGTCCAAGGAGGACGCGGACGGCGCCGTGGAGCGGTGCCGGGAGCGGAAGAACCTGCTGCGGGCGGCCGTGGAGGCGCGGCACGCGCTCTCGGGGGCGCACGCGGGCCACGCGGCCGCGCTCCGGAACGTCGGCGCCGCGCTCTCCGACTACGCCAGCGGCGAGGCGCACGAGGGCGCGCTGCGCCACTCCGCCTCGGCCGCCGCGGTCCTGTCCTCCGCCGGGGGCTCCGGCGCCGAGGCGGCCGCGCTCGCGCTCCCGCCGCCCCCGCCCCCGCCGGGCCCCCCCGAGGACGCCCCGTCGCTCGTCAGGTCCATGAGCGCGCCCGACCTGCCGCTCCCGCCGGCGATCAAGAAGAAGCCCTCCGGCGAGGCGCCCATCATGGAGGAGGAGGAGGAGGATGAAGGTGAGGACGCGCGGCCTCCGGAGCCGGAGGACGATGGCCAGCTCCAGCCCCCGCCACCGCCGCCACCGCCTCCGACGCAGCTGCCCGCGCCCACGCGTCCCCCGCCCTCCCTGCCGCAGGACACGAGGCGCAAGGGGGATTCCTGGAGCGAGATCATTTTCGGGTCCCCGGACGGCTTAACCGTCCCGCCACCCACTCTGGCACCCAGCGCAGCCACCGCCGCCTCGTGGGCAGCCGAGCGGGCGGAGGCCCCCGCGCCGCCGCCGCCTCCCCCCGAGCCAGAGGAACAGCCTCTGCGTCCACCGCCAGCGCCGCCCGCGGCCGCCGAGGACGTGGCCAAGGGCAAGAAGCCGATGGTCGAAGCCGTGGCGCGGAGGGCGGTGACACAGAAGGCCGCGAGGAGGCCGGAGGGCAAGAAAGGCAGGACGGTGGTGATGGCAGCGCCGGAGGCGGCGAGGCTCGGCGACATCCTTCGCGACCTCGACGATCATTTCCTCAAGGCATCGGACAGCGCACACGAGGTGTCCAAGATGCTGGAGGCGGCGCGGATGCACTACCACTCCAACTTCGCCGAAACGCGAGGTACCCACCCACCCCTCATCCATTTGGTCAGACCAAGAATTCACTCCACAATTCGAGCTAATAGACAATATCGATCAGTTTATCTTCTGTCGCTCTCATTGGCGGATAGCTTACGAGTACACGAGACATTCAATTTTGGAAACATAAACTTCTCTGCCTGAGCAAGTCTGCAGAGAAGTCCAAGACGTTTACTTCTATGCTGCTTACGGAACAAGTTTAACTGGTCGACACGATAGACTAAGACTTTCAATAGACCTTACTAATCAGCAATCTCAAGAACAACAAGATTGTTTTTTTAGGGTAATAACAACAAGATTGTTGCATCGTTGATTATTGGAATGAAACGAGGCAATGTTAATTATGGTTACAGTGGAGCCCCACTAATTTTTAGCGGCTAAACGACAGAACAGGTAATCCATATAGGTTACACATGCATAGATTCAGGGGAATGATATTTTTTAGGGTCTACAATTAGGTAGTTCATTACTTGATTGTCTGTCTGTCTATACTCCATGATTGCCTTTTAACTTCAGTTGAGCAGTCTCCATCATGCTTGTTGTCAGGACCGCTTGAGTTGTGTTCTACAAGTACAGATTACACAATATTGAGAAGGGAATGACTAACCTTGGTTACTTCTATGCCATCCATCTTATTAGGATTTGTCGATCATTCTGCTAGAGTGATGCAAGTTATCACATGGAACCGCTCATTTAAAGGGATACCACAACCGGAACAGGTGAAGAATGAGTTAGACGACGCCGAAGGCGAAACACACGCCACCGTTCTCGAGAAGCTGCTTGCATGGGAGAAAAAACTATCCCATGAAGTGAAGGTAAAAATCGAAAAGTAATTTCGGAACTCGGGCCCTAGGTAGCTCTTTGAAAGAAAAAAATCAAAAACACTATCTTTTGATATATACATATATTTGTGTTATTCATGTATAAAACCACTGTAGTCATGATAACCCCATCCTCCTACCCATGTTATGTGTCCTAGGATGCTAAAACCATTTGAATTTTTCACGGTGCCATTCATTTCATTGTGTAAGCTGTTTTTGTCATACATCTGATGAGTTTGTCATTGACGCAGGAGTTTGAGGTTATCAAAATGGAATATCAACAAAAGCTAGCTTCTCTGAACAAGAAGAAGCAGCGTGGGGTCAGTTCTTCATCATTTGAGAGGACTAAATCTGCTGCTAGTCACTTGCATACAAGATATGTTGTCGATTTGCAAACAATGGAGTCCACGATTGCAGAGATTAACCGGCTGAGAGATCAACAACTATACCCAAAACTTCTTGAGCTTGTGAAGGGGTAAACCTTGCTTTTACTTCGCAATTTTGATGTCATTTATTCTATTCAAGTTTGTACATTTAAGCATGTTACTGATACCTCTTCATGGAACCTTCTATTTTGTTCCTGTATTTTCGTTTGAGTTACGGCATCTGGTAATTAAGTAGTGTTCTGCACCCAAGAACTCCCACTAAAATTATTAACATGTGCTCCCTCTGTAAACTAATATAAGAGCATTTAGATCACTAAAGTAGTGATCTAAACGCTTTTATATTAGTTTACGGAGGGAGTATATTGTTTAGTTTATTGTATGGTTTGCTGGTAAGCCAGTTGCTCAGTGTTTCAGTTTTTGACATGTTGGAACTTTATTTCATTCTTTCCTAATCAGGACAAGTCATATACATTTCCTGAAGATCCTCATTTCCTAAAGAAGCATCTAAATAGTCCATATATCCTTAATTTGTACAATACCGTTCATATATTTGTGTCAGAACCATGTTACATGGGAAAGTGAAGTTTCATCTAAAGTGTGTAATATTTTGGAATTTTTTTACTACCTCCTGTTATGAGTGTAAACTTCTCTGTAAGAGGAAACATTAGACCCGCAAAAAAAAACATTAGACTATGGAGCACTGAATAGTGTTAGTTTTCTCACTGACAGGATGGGGCACATGTGGGACACAATGTACAAGAACCACAAAGCACAGTTCAAGATCATCTCCGAGCTCAAATCGTTCGATATCTCGGTTGCGGCACGGGAAACAAGCGAACAGCACAACGAAAGGACTGTGCAGCTATGGCAGGTCGTTCAGGAGTGGCACGCGCAGTACAGCAAGTTCATGGCGTCTCAGAAGGAGTACGTCGGAAACCTCTACAGCTGGATCAAGCTGAATGTGATCCCCATTGATACCAACCTGAAGTCCAACTCGTCGCAACCAGTCGAGACGACGCCTCCCATCAAGAGGCTTCTCCATGCTTGGCACGATATCCTCGCGAAGCTCCCCGACGAGGATGCTAGGAAGGCCATACACACATTTTCGGAGGTGGTGCACATAATCCTGGTGCACCAGGACGAGGAAATAAAGCTGAGGCAAAGGATTCAGGACACAAGGAAGGAGCATGAGAGGAAGAGCAGACAGTTCGAGGATTGGGCTCAGAAGTACATGGAGAAGAGAGCAGGGATTCCTCCCGAGGCCGGCAATCCCGACGGGACACGCGCCGACCCGCTCGCGGAGCGGAAGGCAGCCATGGAGAAGCTGGAGAATTCGCTGAAAGAACTGGAGGAGGCATACACGAAGCAATGCAAGGTGGTGAGGGAGAAATCCCTGAGCCTCCTACGGACAAACCTGCCCGAGCTGTTCCGCATCGTGTCGGAATTCTCCCTCCAGTCGGCGGCCATGTTCAAGGGTCTGTGGTCGATCTCGAACACGAATGACCAGCTGGATGATTGATCCGTGCTTGCTTGTTTAATTTCTTGTGTGGTGATTTTTGTGTTTATGTTGATAGGTTGTGCTGTTGTTGTATATTTAGTTCAAGTGCAAAAATGGGAAGATGGCTAGCCCTTGTTGTTTGGAGCTACGGTGTTGTAATGCATGTATATGTCTTGGATAGGAAATCACGCTTTTGTTTCAAATATCAACAATTTTGGTAGGTTTTACAACCTTTAACTTGCAGGACTATTGATTCGCATTTGTTCAGTGCTCAAAATGTTGATGAGATCATCTTTTTTCAGTAAAGGGCATTTTCATGATACAACCATTGTGACAAAATACTCGGCCTCTGCATAACAAGGTGCACACGTCAACAAGTCCAAAGAACAGTGTAAAAGAACATCTTTTTACAAGAAAAAAAAGTAGCCTAGGATGTAGGAGGTCCCGTCCGAAACTACTACAGCTGGGTATTTCCCCCTTCCGGGTTTATTAGGCCCCTTGTATTTTGTGTTCAATTTTAATCAGATGTCACCAGAATTCACCCCTTACTCAGAAACAGTCATGATCTTCTCGGCCCATCATGACAGAGGCCATTCAGACCTGTATATTTCTAATCATATTATTTCATGAACTTCTTGAGCTCATCAAGTTTTGAACGGATTGGTTTTTTTTTTTTTTTGAGAAATCTCGCATGCTTTATTGAATAATAGAGATGTTCATAGGTACAATAGTTGGGTCATGAGGAATGCCCAACCACACATGTCTGCCTATGCCTAAATTACATGCATGCTTTGCGAGATTGTGAGCCTCATAATTGAAATTCCTACGCTCAAAAATGATCTTGCAAGCAGAGAAACTAGCGCCGCGAGCTGATATTTCATGTGTGATCGCTGCGTTAGGACCACTTGTCCCTCTGTTTATGTCATTGACTACTCCCTCACAATCAGATGCCATGACCACGTCATGAACACCCAGATCATCTGCCAATGCGAGTCCCTCCCTGCAAGCAAAAGTTTCCAACATCATGGGATCGGTGACGCCGCCATAGACCATTGCTGATGATCCC